TATATATATATATATATTTATATAGTTAACATTTGTTAAAAATAGCTATATAAATGATATTTCACAGTTTAAGACTAATGGACAAGCATTTTCGATCAGGATGAATTATTATAATTCAAAATTATGCAACGAATCAAAAGGATAAAATATTCTGTCTAGTTTTCCATGTCCAGACATTGGCGACGATCCGACCATATGAAATGCACAATGACATGGTCAGATCATCACATGTGTGATTCATCAGATGAAATATTTTTTTCCAATAAAAAATCCATTTAACTACTTGTCTAGATCTCAATCAATCATAATTTTACATCATTTTAAGGGAAAATTATTATGTGCAGAGACGCACGTCTAAAAGACGGTCCCGATGAGCTGCCATGCTTGTCATGCGAGCCACAGTAGTTACAACATGACCATATCCAAACTGTCTTCCGATTGTACACTCAGTTGCACCTAATAATTCTCCCTTTTTTAGGGCGAAACACTTCTAAATCCCACATTCTTTACACACCCTTTAAATAATCCTCAATCTAATATATATTTAAAATTGAAAATCTACTGCTACTAATAAATACAAATCAATAAATATTCGCAGGGGCCAAAAGCTTCCCACTCTCTCCCTTACCTCTACTCCAACTCCATCAGAGTACTCTGCAACGCCAACTCCTCCGAAGGCTTCCAACCCCACAAAGACGTCTCGCTCCCCGAAATCAATCTCAAAACCCGACGGCTCCATCGGCGGCATATCGCCCTCCCGCCGCACCACCCTCGCCTTCTTCGCCGGCGGCATGCACGGCCCCATCCGTCCAATCCTCCTCAAGCACTGGAAAGATAAGCACGACGATGAAATGCAGATTCACGAGTATTTACCTCAAGGCGTCGATTACTACTCCATGATGAGGAGCAGCAGGTTCTGCATTTGCCCGAGCGGCTATGAGGTGGCCAGTCCGAGAATAGTGGAGGCGATATATCTGGAATGCGTGCCGGTTATTATATCGGATCACTATGTGCTGCCGTTCAGTGATGTGCTGAATTGGAAGGCGTTTTCGGTTCAGGTGTCGGTGAGGGAGATACCGGAGTTGAAGGAGATATTGGGGAGGATAACGATGAAGCAGTATATAAGGATGTGGAGAAGGGTGAAGTTGGTGCAGAAGCATTTTGTGGTGAATACGCCGCCGATGAGGTTTGATGTTTTTCATATGATTTTGCATTCTGTTTGGTTGAGGAGGTTGAATTTTCGTGTTGGGGATTTGGGATTGGATTGATTTGAGAAAAAGAATGTTTTTTTTTATTTTTATATATATGTTGAGTTTGATAAGTTAATAAGAGAATGATTTGTTGAATGATTATATGGAAGGGAAGATAGTGCATGTTCGATGTAAAGAGTGGTGCATGAAATAGTTCCATTGAGATGCGTGGATGATATATATATATATATATATATATTTATATATCACACACACACACACACACACATATATATATATGTGTGTGTGTGTGTGTGTGGATGGAGATAAAAAGTTTGTAAGAAGGAATAAAAACAACACAATTTTAAGAGCACTAATACTAACTATTTTTTATTTTGATACAAACTCAAACACATTACAATTATTTGTACTAGTGATACTATGTGCCAACACATTTTGAATACTACTATGCACTCTCTAGAATACCCTTCTATTTTCGAGAGAATATTAGGTGTGGGGTCTGCATGCATGAAGACTCAAGTGCAACTTTGTTGTACAAGTTTGTATTCATGAATATAACCATGAGTACAACTGTGTAAAATATGGTTGTACTGGAGTCTGCATGCATGAAATCTCTGCATCTAATATTTATCTTCTGTTAAAAAAAATTATTAAATATATTCTATATTTTTCTAAACACTCTTTGAACATAATTTTATAGAATCCGCTAAAGACTCATGAACAGTCTCTTTAATATCTAATTATTTAATTTATTCATTAGACGAGTGTGACGAGCATAAATAGTACTTTTGAGTTTGATTTATAAATGAACCTGCCACTATTTTGTTCATTTTTAGCTAATTTTGTATCAAATTAAATAAATAAATAATATTTAAAAAAAATCACATTCTATATAAAAAAAATTAAAATTTATTTTTTAAAATTATTTGCGTTAAATTCTAGCCGAACAAACGTGAGATAAAACAAACAAGTAAATTTGGATTTTGTTAAATGTTGATGCAGCGGTGCTGTGAAACACACACCAATCATGCAAGTATATATGTCACTTGAGTAATATACGAATTTGAAGCCATATATTGATCTCATAAGGAATTTTATCAATTTCTCAAAAAGGTAAAATCTTTAGTTTGACGGTTTCACAGTTAGTTTGAATTGTCGTTGTTGAATCATGATTTGTCCTTCAATCACACCCAAGAAATAAAGAGTAAATAGGAGAGAGAGAGAGAGGGGAGAGAGAAAAGAGAGAGAAGTGAACACTAATAAACAGTAATGCACCACGTTTTATTCATAAATTGATCTCCTTATTTATATGGGAGAGAGTATAATATGATGCTGTTATATTTTTGTCTTTGCTTTAAAGGGGACGTATGAGATATTTCTAGTATTTTATAGGGTGTGCCTGTCTTTTGGCTTCTTTCCGGCTTGATAGGCTAGGTTTAATTTATTGGCTTTAGGTTGGCAAGTTGAGATTCGTTTAGTCGGCTGTGCTTAATCAATTTATGTCTACCAGTTGATAAGTCCAAGATATTGATCATTGAACTATGACGAGGCGTCTTTGTTGGGTCAGCTCTCCTATGTCGATCAGGTTGGATGTATTTTTGTCTCGTTGCGGTCTGAATGATCTATTTTTTTATCTTTCAGTCGCCTTTGATTTGTTTCATGGTTTGGTCAACTTTGGCCTGAATAACTTCACTCGGCTGGACAATTGAGCCTCATAGTCTTTTGTTAGTGGTCTTCCTTCATCATACTTTTTCTTTTAGACCATTAGATTTCCTCAGAATTTCCACTGAGATATTTTTTATATACATATTTTAGTTCATTGATTCTCTTACTTATTGAAAACGTCATCTTGAAAAGAATAAGACAATTTAATGTAAAAAATATATCACATTATTATTCAATAATTAAATAATTGAATTCTCTTAATTTTACACCTTTAATTCTTATAAATAAGGCATGGCAGAACTTAGTATCCTTCCTTCTGTGACCCCTTTCATTTAAGTCAGTCAACTTCCGATCATTATAATAGAGCACGTGTCAAATACTCTAGTTAGATCCTCATTAAAGATCTACTTCGTACTTCCTTCGAGAGGTCGGAGGAGAGATACTGCATGGAAAATAAAAGGGAAAAGAAAATTTTTGAAAAGAAAAAAATAGTTAATGTGTTGACAAATCAAGTGCGACAAAAAATATCTTAATTTTTTGTTCAGCGCAGGGATTAAATCCGTCACCCACCGTGTAAAGAAAAAGTCCCCACCAACTAAGCTGCTCTTATATAAATTCTCACAATAATATAATATATATACTCACATGTATATATATACATGACATAAAGAAAATGATTTTAGATTTTGACATTTTTGGTCGACAAAGTGCTCTCACCCAAAAATAGGGAGCAATTGATACATCTCCAACAAATCTGCATCATTTGGCTTGAATCTCGAGGCATGACATAGATCTTGAGACGACTTTTAAGAAAGAAATATTTAAACCTCGATAAAATCTCATCCAAAATTCCAATTTTAGCAAATTTACAGTCAAACTGACTGGCTTGACAGGAAGAACTCAATGTTACCAAAATTAGTCCAATCCAAGTCAAATCAAGCTATGATCAAGTCATTAAACAACTCTTAGAAGTTTTTTGGACATACAGAAGGTTAGATGAACGTTGAATGTAACAAGCCTATAATTGAATTGAGCGTCTCGACAAGACGAATCCAACGAGCCCAAGATTGCTCGATTTCAACTTCTTTCAGGTACTCAAATCTTCATAAAATACCGTCTAATCGAAGATAGCCCTTTGGACCATCCGATCAAAGTTGTTCATATTCCAACATTCATTTCACTCAAAACACTATAAATAGAGCCCACCCCTTTGATGAGAGGGGTCTGATAGCTTAAAAGTGAAATTAAAACTTTGAGAATAAATTGAAGTCCAACACCATCATTCTCACTGTCAATCGTCGCTAGCTGCTTTTAACCGCAGCCGACCACCATCAATCACAACCAATCATCGTTGATCGTCGTCAACCACTGCCGACAACCGTCAACAACCACTGATCATCGTCGAGCACTAATGCCATCGTCAACCACCACAAATTGTCGTCGACCGCTGACCATCGTCGATCACCACCAATCGCTACCGACCACCACGAACCAGAAGCCGTCAATCGACATTGTAACTTGAAAGACCTAGCAATCATTTTCCCGTCTATGGGACAAGAGGTCTCTGTAATCATCAACCTATATTGAATTTTTACATCTAGGCAAGACCTCACGATTTTTCATTTTACGGGCTTTCCACGTAAAAATTTCTAGTTTCATTACTGGTTGTTTCTTTTTATCTGAGTGTGTTGAATTCTCATGCAACTATAAGATGCTAATATATTATTCTACCACCGTGAATTTTTTAGTTCGCATAAGTAGTATTGATTTGATGAATAACAATATCCTGCAATGTCATAGAAAAGAGACTTCTGCTATCCAAATAGAATGTGGGAATTTTGAGTTCTCCTGTTTTACTCCCCCATCTTCCCCAGCTTTGATGCTATAGTGGTATCAGAAACCAATGTCGACTAGCATGGCAGAAGGAAGCAAACGATTAGTTCTTGACGGCGATTGAAATTTAGAATCCATATTGATTACTCAAAATAATCTCGTGCAAAGGTTAGACGAACTCACCCTGAGTTTTTCTGGGTTTCCATAGAGATGTGATGAGAAATACAATCTTTAAAAGAGGGAAAAATTTCTGTAATCCTACAATCCAACCTATGGTATAGGCAACCATACCCGTATACCCTTGCCATTTATTTAAAAATGAGAAGAATCTCCTTGGAAAGATGAAGAGTGAATTATATTGCATGGTTTATAAATGTTCCTCTAATTGAATTATATATGGAGATTTTAATGGTACCATCTCTTTGAAAAGCACTCTATGAATACAACTTCATTGATCTTCTTTTTATGGGTTCGATTTCAATTGGTCTTGCAATTTCTTTAGATTTGGAGGACATTTTTCCCAACTACAATCGCAAGTCTTTGAATATGAATTTTTCTAATTTTTATATTGTAATTTATTTAGTGAATATGGTTAAACATCCAAATCCCTTGTTTTTTGGTTTTAAAACAGTTGCTTTTATACCGCCCAATTTTGATGAATTTTCATACAACTATCTAATTTTGATGAATTGCCATATGAAACAACTAAAATAAGAAATGTAAATGTATGTTGACCTCATTTTTTTATCACATTCCTTCCGATACTCACCCATCTGGATCTAAGAATTCTTTTTAGTATCTTTACATGGTATATTTGGGTTTGACTTGATCTGGTTGACCTGGGTCAGTTTTGGTTAGCCTTAACTCGACCTGGTGGGCCTAGGCCTGATTGGTTGAATGGTTGACCAAAAAAAAGTCATCACTTAAATTTGATTTTACATACATGTCACATTTGTCATCCATGAAAGGTGTATTTAAAAGGTTGGTATAACTGTAAAAAAATTATAATGGAAGCGTTTGATATGTAAATACACAATAATTGGGTCGTATTTGTGTAAGAAGGAAGTAATCTTTACCCTTTCTTTCAATTTACCGGAACCTACCATTTCGTCTAAATGGAAATTTCTCTCCGCTTCATCTGACATCCCTCTCTCATGGGAGAACTCTCCACTTTTTTTTCCTGCAAGAGTCGAAGAGCTCCTCCTTCCTTCACACAAGCCGAACGCCTCTCCTGCTTTTTCTCTCTTTTTTGCACACGGCAGGGTCGAATGCTGATTGTGGGAAATGGGCTTCTGCGGTGGCAGCATGTTCGCACGATTAGTGGTCTCTCTCTTGCCCGGTCCTCCGAAAGGAAGCTTTTCACAAACGAATCTTGAAGAAATTAATATGGACTTCAGCATTTATGCTTGTTGGAGAGCGTACTTTTGGAGCTTAAATCGGGTTGTGGAGAAGGATTATCGATCTGACTGAGGTAAGTACTTCTATGTAAATTGTGAAGCAAATGAAGGAGATTGCTTACAACGCCCAGCATTTGATTCTGAAAAATTAGGGTTTGGTCT